TCAGCTTCTGCCAACCTAGCAGTTTGAAAGCACATAAAAAATGCAAGTAGAAAAATAGGAACCACCTTTGGTGAGAAGGTAACAGCGTTCTGTGCGCCTTTGGCGTTTAGTCATGCCGGCCACATGACCACGGAGATGTCTTCGGACAGCGCTGGCTCTTTGGCTTTGAAACGGAGATGAGCACTGCCCCCTAGAGTCAGGAGCGACTAGCACAGATGTGCCAGGGGAACCTTTACCTTTACCTAGTTTGCTTAATGGGCAAATGCAATCTTAGCTATGGTTTTGAGAAAGAGATTTTTTGTGGTGGAATCAAACTGCTTTTCTGGAAATAGCTTCTTCTGTCGTTATGCAAATACACGGGTGGGTACTTTGAATTAAAAAAGTGACCTTTTTTTTTGAGTAGGTGTTATAATAGGCAAGTACTGCAAAGTGCTGCGGTTTGATTAGTGACATCTAACTTTACTCCACCTTCTCGTGGAGTTAAGATAAAAATATTACTGAGGGGGAGGGTTGTCTTTGGGTCAGTTATTCTCTCAATTTACCCCGCAAGTTCATTATCCTGGAATAACATTGTAAGAGAATCCTGCCTAGGCCACTTTTCGTTCACAGAGGGGGGAAAAAAAGGCAGGTGTTGGAAATAAAATCAAGTCCCAGTACCAAACTGGGAAAAGATGCCAGAAATAAACTGGAGGGAGGCCGCAGGAAAGGAAGTCTCTGTTTATTTGGTAGCCAGAAATTAGAGACAGCAGCATGTTTCTGGGGTGGCTGACAAAAGGGGGTTGAGAGGAGGTGGGTTTTATACATACTTTGGGGCATTGGGATTGAGATGCCTGGGTAAAAATATGGCCTTTAATATTTTAATGGCTGTGGCCAGATTCCTATAGGATCATCTAAGGCAGACGTCCCCACTAAATTCGTAATTTTAAATCCCGCGGACCACTAATACGATCTGCTTAATGACTGGCTAAGTGGGTGTGGCTAGGTGGTCATGTGAGGTGGGCGTGGCCAACTTGACGTCACTTACAACGAGGGTCGCCTCGCCAGCCTCTACTCGCCCTTCCCATCCTAGGCACTCCTTGCCTGGCCGCCCGGGCTCCTTAGGGCCGCCACAGGAAGCAGTTGTTGGAGCTAAGCAGCCACCATGAGAAAGAGTTGGCTGGCTCAGTTCAAATTGGGTCTGACCGAGAAGGAGGCTCAGCAGAAGCACCTCACTGAGGACTANACTAAATACAAATACAAACCCCCGTTGTTTAGCTGTTCCCTTCATCTGGCAATTCTGCACATGCGCACACTGGGAACAGGCTCCAGCTGTTCTTCCGCCCCACTGATGTCTGATTCCGAAGGCAGCTGATGGCATAGGGCTGTGGCCCCCTCTCTGCCTCTGACACAGAGTCCTCATCAGAGCCTTCCCAGGACTCCAGGACTCCCCAACCTTCTCACTGCCCGAATCTGCAACCAGCTCTACTGGCGGAGCACAACAATCCTTGCATATGGCACCAGCATAACATTTGACAATGTCATCTTTATCGAAGTCTGGACATCCTTATCTGAAAATAAATCCTAGTACATTTGATGTTTCTGAATAATATACATACAATTTTGGTGTCAAGTTTATTTCTCAGATGGTAATAGCTATTGTATGAAGTGAAAAATTATTTATACTTCATCCAGTGGGAAAAATCCTTTTATCCATTCAAGGATATCATGTTTACTAAATTCTTCTATCTTGTTTAAAAGGTTTGATTAAAATACAGTAAGCATCCCCCCCCCTTTTATTTTTTGATGCTAGAATGATAATTCTAAGCAGACCTCAAAATCATTTTGGTTTCTTGAGAACATGGATTTTTCTTTCCTACTAAGACACCTGGGAATTTTAGAAATGGCTTTACTAAGGGCTGTGCTTTTGCTTTCAGGATTGAATTTCAATTGAGAGCTGAAACATAAAAGCTATGCTTCTTAAGGGATTAAAAAAATCTTTCTCAAAAACGAAAGAACCAATAAATGGCTGCTAACACTTTTACTTGCCGGTCTAGCTTGGAGTTAACAAGTTTTCAAGATAGAACTGTATTTCACCCTCTGAATATAGTTTCATTAGTTAGTTACTGTACAGATTGCTTGTCTCAAGAGATCTGTAGAGATTCTCAGTCATCCAGGTTGTCCCAAAGGTGCTTTTTTCCCAAAAGACAACTGGACTTTCTTGTTTTTTTTTCTTTTGAAGACGTTTCGCTTCTCATCCAAGGAGCTTCTTCAGCTCTGACAGGATAGTGGGGAATGGAAGGATTTGTGTTCCTTGCAGATAGCTGGTCATTTGCGTCCTTTTAGAAGGTCTTTGAGGCCACTTGGAGGTTTATCTGTGTCGTCAGGGTCACCTGAGTAGTGCAAATGGTTCCTGTAGTCTGCAATTTTTCCCCTTCTGGAAATCCATTCCTATTTCCACCATTTGAAAGGGGTTCATCCCAAATTGTATAGTTAAAAGTCGGTAGAGATTCTCAGTCATCCTGGTCATGGTTGTCCCAAAGGTGCTTTTTTCAGGAGGCAATAGGACTTTCTTGTTTTTTCCTTTGAAGATGTTTCGCTTCGCATCCAAGAAGCTTCTTCAGCTCTGACAAGATTGTGGGGAATAGCTGGTCATTGGCATCCTTTTCGAGAGGTCGTTGAAGCCCTTGGAAGTTGATCTGTGTGCTCAGGGTAACCTGAATAGCGCTTTTGGTCCTGTAGTCTGCAATTTGTTTTTATTTTTTTTCCTCTTTGTCTAAAGAGATGTTTTTGAAGTTCATAAGCCCTTTCTAATTATCAATTTAAAAAGGCAGCTTTTTTAAATTCTCACCAGGCTCAAGGTTGGCTCAGCCTTCCATCCTTCCGAGGTGGGTAAAATGAGGACCCAGGTTGTTGGGGTGAAATACGCTGACTCTGTAAACCGCTTAGAGAGGGGCTGTCAAAGCCCTCTGAAGCGGCATACAAGTCTACTTGCTATTACGGTATGGAAAAAGGATTTGTGCAAAAGCCACCACGGCTTAGCTTCTTTGTTACAATTTTTATCCAAGGCAGTTAAAAGACTTTCCTGGGTACAAGGAGTGCTGCATTTTGAATTCTGCCTTGAGGCAGATGGGCGTTTATCTCCCCAAGGACTTCTATAAGTTGCTGTTTTTGTTACCTTTTTTTTTTTGGTTCCAGGTGAAAGCTTTGCCTTTACTTGCTTCAGATCACAAGCCGTATTTCTCCGTGCTGCAGTTTTTTTTATTTCTTCCGATGTTTATTACTTTGCTACATATATTTTTGTTGTTCTGGGTTTTTTTTTCCGTAACTGTCAGTTCATCTGAGCTTTCACAGAAAAGCAGCCCTATCAAGTAGAAACGTGAAAAAAAACAACGTAAAAGGCTGTATCTTATATTTATTTTTAATACAATCGGTAGAGGCTTACTGCAACAGACAGGTTTAATGTGGCAAAGTAGTATTTATGGTTTTCATAATCTCTGCTAGATAACGTGTATTGGAAAAATCTGAAAGAAGTAGAAGAGGGTGTGGAAGCAGGTTGAAATATTTCTCCTAAAAGAGAAATAAAAAAATCTTAAGGGACACGGAGACTCAGAGCCCCTGGCCCCAAGTAATGGATTTGGTAATCCATTACTCCCTGCAGCAAAGGTAGAATAGCTCTCACCCATGAGCCAACCCAGGGCAAAGCCATTAAGCCATAATAGGAATTATTGCATCACCCTCCGAACTTCAATCAAACTTAGCTCAGACAAACACCTAGGATTTGTACTTTGCCTATAGAGCCAGCTATGACCCTTACATAACCCCTACATGGCACCACGAGAGCCTGACAGCAGCCAATAGAATACATGTCCTTGCACAGAAACAGGAAGCTCAAGTTCAAAGCCCCAAGAGAAGGTATAAACACCCTCCCCCCCACTCTAAACTCCATGTGGCTCTGCTTCGTCATTAAACCATCTTTCCAATCAGCCTTCATGTTTTCAGTGTCTTTCCCCCGGCTTGGAACTGAACCAGACAGATATTTATTGCAATAAGGGTTTGGGCACTTCTGTTTAGCGTATCTCTGCTCATGGGGACCATTCTAGAAGGCCCCAAAAGTTGTTCTATGAAAAGAGAAGGTCAGTTGGAAATTGTACATTTTCATTTGTCTCATATTGCCAGCCAGGAAACAAGATGTTTGATTCATGCAATATACATAACTCTACTGTAATGGCTTGAAGCATCCCAGAAGCTAACTTAGCATATGGTGCTAAACCATCCTTTAAATCAAAGCACATTCCAGTTTAATTGAGTATGAACTGACTACTGACTTTTGAATTTTTTTGGGGGGGGATTATACAAGAATTGAGGGATGTGATGGCTCAGTGGCTAAGACTCTGAACTTGTCAATCAGGAAAGTTGGCAGTTCGACAGTTCGGATCCCTAGCAGCGAGCTCCCGTTCCTTGTCCCAGCTTCTGCCAACCTAACAGTTCGAAAGCACTTAAAAAATGCAAGTAGAAAAATAGGAACCACCTTTGGTGGGAAGGTAACAGTGTTCTGCACACTTTCGGCATTGAGTCATGCTGGCTACATGACCACAGAGACGTCTTCGGACAGCATTGGCTCTTTGGCTTTGAAACAGAGATGAGCATCGCCGCCTAGAGTCGGGAATGGGTAGCACATATATGCGAAGGGAACCTTTACCTTTACATGACTCTACTGTTATGGCTTGAAGCATCCCAATAGCTTACTTAGCATATGGTGCTAAACCATCCTTTAAATCAGTGCTTGTCAACCTGGTCCCTACCGCCCACTAGTGGGCGTTCCAGCTTTCGTGGTGGGCGGTAGGGGTTTGCTGTAACTCTGCTTTATAAATTTTATAANATGCTAGGAGGAGACTCTATGGTGGGGGAACCGGACTTCCGGTCAGTAGAGGAAAAAGGACGCCATGCTAGGAGGAGACTATGGTGGGGGAACCAGACTTCCAGTCGGCTCCAGAATTGAAGGGGGGGCTTATATTTAGGACTTTTGTGACTCTTTGAGTGTTTGAGGTTGCCCACCCCTGGCCTAAGTGCTAGTGCTACGTCAATTAAGGCCAGCTAAGTACTGCAGATTAAAAGTTTTTGCATTTTGTAGATAGCTTGTATGCAGTTCATCAATGCTCTGGTTACAACTCCTGACGATTTGGACTTCCGACTCCACATTCGGAATGAATTTATGCGTTGTGGATTAAAAGACCGGCTGCCGGTAAGTATGTGTATGCCTGAATTAATATTTAAATTAAAAAGATTGCAATGAGAAAAAGTGTGAAATGCCTTGTGGACTTTCTATTATTAAGACAGAGCAAACGGCCTCCTGTATAAATTGTTTCGCAAGGTACATATTTGAATAGCATAACTCCCCCAAATTATTAGCTTTGGATACATGCGTTTTGTTTGAAATAACTCATTTTAAGACGCAGTTATTAATTACAACACCGTTGATGCTTTCCCTACTGCAGCTGCTGAGATGCATAAGGAATGAAGCGTTGGATATCCAGATGAAAGTATTCAGTGAACACAAAGAAGAAGATATGATTGAATTTTATCACCGCTTAGATGACATCAGATCAGAATTCGAATATCCTTTCACGAAAAAAATAAATAAATGGAAATTTGCAATCAATTAAACAAGGCTTTGCAGCCAGCATCCAAAGGTTGATGCTCTTTTTTTATTTATTTATTCGTAGTTGACTCAATTTATATGGTCAAACGAAACTTTGGCAATTCTCATCTGGTGATAGTTAAAGTTTGGAATCGTGGATAAAATATAAGAATTGTTCTGTTGTTCCAAGAAGCTCTGGAACAAAATCGGTTAGTGACCGATGGCTCATTTTGGGGCCAAAAACATAAACCAGTTTTTCCTCACCGATTGAATTTTAAAAACTTTTTACATAATTGCAGGAAAAATCTAAATACGAACAAACCTACCCTTTACAAACCATTTGCAGTATTTTTATCCTTAATTTGATCACTGATGCAAATGATGTTTTTAATTTAGTGTGGAATACCGTTAAGGATACAAGTGCAGAAAACTACTTTCTTTCTATACTGCAACACCTCTTGCTGATACGAAAAGATAATTTTATACGGTAAGAAAAGAATCATACGGTACAAAAAAATTTGCTGAAGCTCCTATCTGGATATTTATGAAATATCAAACGTTAGGCAACCTGTGGCGCACATTATTACAGTGTCTTAGTTTCATGGAAGACCTTCAAATAAATCTGAACTTAGAAGTGTGTAACATCTAGGAAGGCCGGCCTAATTGGAGAGAAAAATTCTGATTCTTTAAAGAGTTAACATGTTTCTAAACAACCTTGCAGCTCCTCAGAAGTTAGAAATAGTTATTCAGTTGTTACCTTTGTTCAGTGGAGTCACAAGAAAGATGTGGGCAGCCTGCGTTACTCACCTCTAGATTTAATTTTGGTCTTCGTGGCCTCACAATGAAATCACGAAAGTGGAAAAAAGTTACCAGATAAAGTCTGCCTTGATATGCATGATAATGAGCAAAGTTTTCCTAATTTGGGTTTGGTATAAATAAATAATAAAGGAGGCGGGTGGCTCAGTGGCTTAAGATGCTGAGATTGTTGATCAGAAAGGTGGTCAAGTTCAGGGGTTCGAATCCCTAACGCCGCTTAACGGAGTGAGCTCCCGTTACTTGTCCCAGCTTCTGCCAACCTAGCAGTTCGAAAGCANCTCCCTTCTTTCCTCCCTCCCTTCCTCCTTGCATCTCCTCCCTCCCTTTCCTCTCTTCCATCTCCTCCCCCCTTCCTTCTTTCCTTCCTTCCATCCTTCCATCATCTCACCTCTCTTCTTTCCTCCCTCCCTTCCTCCTTGCATCTCCTCCCTCCCTCCCTTTCCTCTCTTCCATCTCCTTCCTCCCTCCCTCTCTTCCTTCCATCCTTCCATCATCTCACCTCCCTTCTTTCCTCCCTCCCTTCCTCCTTGCATCTCCTCCCTCCCTCCCTTTCCTTTCTTCCATCTCCTCCCTCCCTCCCTCTCTTCCTTCCATCCTTCCATCATCTCACCTCCCTTCTTTCCTCCCTTCCCTCTTCCACCTCCTCCCTCCCTCCCTCTCTCCCTTCCTTCCATAGCCTGGAAAAAATCTTGAAAGCCTTGACTGAAGAAGCAGAAGCGAGAGGCATTGACCGATTTGGCCCGATTCTGCAGGGTCTCGAGGAGAATTCAGTCCACCTGCAAGTAAGTAATGCTTTTCTGGTGGTATTTTAAAACTAATACACGTAACTAAGGCAGACAGCATACTTGAAGAAAAAGAAAATTCCGGGTCAATTATTCCACCTTGGATGAAGCTAGATATGCTCATTCATTAATCTCACTATTACACTTAGAATTTGGGAATGGTTTCTCCTATGCCACCTCTATAGTTAAATATTAGGAAAAAAACCCAACTGCATAGATAACCAATGATTGCATATTATCAATGACCAACAGGAAGTAACAACTTGACCAACCAACAAACTGAGATTTAAGCAGTTACGCTATCATGATTTGGGAATATCCGTTCATTTTTTTTTAAAATGAAAGGTGCTGTTAATTGCTTTTCCATTTTCCTGGGCGCTGCTCTGGAGAGTCCAAGCCTGGGTTAAATACAGCCAATCTGCCCAGGACTGAATTGAAATTTTAAGCCAATTTTAATTCCTCCCGATGAACCTAAAGCAAATATAATAGCCCCAGGTTTTGATTTTAACCCATTAAGTTCTTTAAATTGTCATGCCAGAGGCATCTTCTGTTGTTTTGAACGTCATATTTGGTTTCAAATAAAGAATAATGCACTAGAAATTGTGTTTATCCAGTATTTCTAAAACCTAACCTCCCTTAAATCCACAAGATAAAAAATTTGGATATGTTCGTTATTACTTCTAAAGTTTGTCCATGTCTAGAAGTGTTGATTGGAGATTTTTGGCAGGAAAAAAATGGAAACGTTTAATAATCCTCTGAAACAATTATAGCTATTCTCTTTTGAATAACGTTATTTTATATGTCACACGTCCTCAACTACATGTAGACATCTGTTCATGACATAACAATTTCATAATGTTCATAGCAATAAAATAATGTTACTGTTGGCTATGCCTGAGGTATCTGTTTTCTCCGGATGTTTCATGCTGAGGACATATTAGGAAGACAAAACTGTAAAAGCACATTGGTTAGAATGCAACATTTCAGGCTAATTCTGCCGACTGCCAGCAGTTCAATCCTGACTGGCTGAAGGTTGACTCAGCCTTCCATCCTGCCGAGGTGGGTAAAATGAGGACCCAGATTATTGGGGGCAAGAGGCTGACTCTGTAAACCGCTTAGAGAGGGCTGTAAGGCACTGTGAAGCGGTATATAAGTCTAAGTCAGGGATCAGCAACCCGCAGCTCTGGAGCCGCATGNGGGGGGTCAGAACATTTCATTATCCAAACCAGGTAAAATCATTAGTGCTAGTCCGATGATGAAGTTACCTAGTTTGGACAATGAAACATCTACAAGGAAACAATCAAGCTTGGAGATGACCCAAGACCCCCACATTTCAACCCTGAGCTACAAATATTCTCCTTTATTGCTAGTACTTCTGGGTAAGCTTCCAGGCTGGAGAGCCTTGCAAAGTTGATACACAAGGAAATGCTTTGTAGCAACAGCACTTCGACTTACATACCGCTTCACAGTGCTTTTACAGCCCTCTCTAAAGCGATTTACAGAGCCAGCCTATTGCCCCCCCAACAATCTGGGTCCTCATTTTACCGACCTCAGAAGGATGGAAGGCTGAGTCATCCATTAGCCATTGAGAATCGAACTGCTGGCCGTCAGCACAGTTAGCCTACAATACTGCATCCTAATCACTGTGCCGACTCCTAGTAAATTTGCAGGTGACATGACAAAAATGTCGCCTTGCTAGATTAAAAGAGTTGGTTGAAAGTAATCAAAAGGGTAGGTCCAGGAAGGAGTTTCCCTGGCTTGATGACAGTGACACATGAAGAGGCTCCTGGATCTGTAATTAATCCCAGATTCTACAAAGGTCAGCAGTGTGTGGCTTTATTGCCCAGGAAGCAAAAGCAACTGTAGGCTGCATCCAAAGAAGCATAATTTCAAAAACTCTGAAAATTTGTCAAGTGCCACTTCAGTTGGCACTGGAACTCGACACCGCAGTATGTCCGTTTTTCAGATAAAAGTAAGGAAGACGATCACGGAACTATTCAGAAGGAAGGAGAGAGAAAACAGTTTAATTTTGACAAATGCGGCTAAAACTGGGGCCTGCTGACATTTTTCAAGTCCCTGAAAAGTTGCCCTGCGGAAAGAGACTGTCTCTTTCCCTACCACCTTAAGGAGCCAAACAAAATGTAATTATGTCAAGTTCTAGCAAAGCAGATCCGGAAAGCAGAATGGAATTTGCAGCTTACGTGTTCGGTAGCAGACTATGATTACAAAAAGATGAGCTCCTTTTTTTGCAGGATGTGTTGAGGCCGGCAATGCTTTCGTTCTCTTTGCAAGGACCGTGTTAAATTGGATTCGTGCCCTGAGACGGGAGTTGGACTCGCTGTGCCCTAAATGGCTCTTCTTGAGCCCAGAGGAAATGCAGCTTGCAAAACAGTCTTTACCCAACGGTCAAGGAAATGAAATGTTTGATGCTTCAAGAGTTGTGCTTTAATATAAGGTTGCAAAACTAATATAATTTTAGGAAGGGGAGAAAAAACAACCTAGGAGCGTTTTTTTTCTCCGTGGCAAGGAGCATTGTGTGCAAGAACTGTATGTTGGCAAAATGCCAGTTGATTCAACTTTATGGAAGAGGCATAAAATATGGTGTTGGGGTTTTGTTTTGTTTTTTTGACTCCTTAAACCAAGAGAAAAAGCGCATAGCTCCCAATGCATGTGGTTTCCCAGTGTGGAAAGTTTCTTCAAGTCTTTGTGGGAATCATAAGTGTCCTGCAACTGACCCAATTCTTCTTCGTGAAGGTTTCATTTTCTCCCTTTGTATTACTATCCTTCCAATGCTCATTTGTACACTTTCAACAACTCTAATTTGTAAATGATTGGTTTCTAGTCTGGAGGGGTGGGTGAGAATACTGTATTTTTGGGAGTATAAGA